CTCAGCCTCCTGAGTAGCTGGGATTACAGGCACGTGCCACCATGCCCAGCTAATTTTTTGTATTTTTAGTAGAGACAGGGTTTCACCATGTTGACCAGGATGGTCTCGATCTCCTGACCTCGTGATCCACCCGCCTCGGCCTCCCAAAGTGCTGGGATTACAGGCTTGAGCCACCGCGCCCGGCCCTGGCTGACATTTTCTAAGCCGCCCTCTCCACTGGTTCCTTTCTTTCAGCCTAGAAATGCACACAAGTGAAAGCTAAAAATAGTCCCTCTCTTAGGCCGAGCACAGTGTCTCATGCCTGTAATCCCGGCACTTTGGGAGGCCAAGTAGGGCAGATCACTTGAGGTCACGAGTTTGAGACCAGCTTGGGCAACATGGCAAAACCTGAATGTACAAAAAATGCAAAAATTACATGGGCATGGTGGTGCATGCCTGTATTCCCAGGTACTTTGGAAGCTGAGATGGGAGGATCATTTGAACCTGGAGGTGGAGGTTGCAGTGAGCCGAGATCACACCACCACATTTCAGCTCGGGCAATAGAGTGAGACTCTGCCTCAAAAAAAGAAAAAAAAAGTCCCTCTCTTAATCCAGCTCTCCATCCCCTTAGGCTTTCCTCTTTGCCACCAAACTCTTCAAAAGAGTTGTTAACATTTTCAAAGTCAAGTTGTATCCAGGACCCTCAGCTCTGGACAGTGGGGTGATGAAGAGAGAGGTGGGAATAAGAAAGGCACCACAACCCAGCCGCCGTCTCCAAACAACCAGTGATTCTGGTTACGTCAGTGGTATGCTACTTCTGAATTTCAATTTACTCTTCGACTTTTCACAACCAATCAACTTTCTACTCCTTTCCCTTCTTCTAGAACTTTCTTGTAAAATCTTCAAATCCCAACCTGGGTCGAGTGACAGGGTGAGACCCTGTCTCTAAAAATAAAAACTCTTTTCTCGTCCAGAAGTGGTGGCTCAAGCCTGTAATCCTAGCACTTTCGGAGGCCGAGGCAGGCAGATCACTTGAGGTCAGGGGTTCAAGACCAGCCTGGCCAACAAGGTGAAAACCCATCTCTAAAAAAAACCACACACAACTCTTTTCTCAGCTGAATTTTATTGAACATCTAACTTGTTCCCACTGAGCTAATTATTTCACTTCCTTGATCAAATACCTTAAGTGTCTCCTTACTACCTACAGGAAAAGTCTGTACTCTGGAGCAATTTTTTTTTGTTTTTGTTGTTGTTGTTTGAAACACAGTTTTGCTTGTTGTCCAGGTTGGAGTGCAATGGCACGATCTTGGCTCACTGCAATCTCCGCCTCCTGGGTTCAAGCAATTCTCCTGCCTCAGCCTCCTGAGTCGCTGGGATTACAGGCATACACCAGCACACCCTGCTAATTTTGTATTTTTAGTAGAGATGGGGTTTCTCCATGTTGGTCAGGCTGGTCTTGAACTCCCAACCTCAGGAGATCCACCTGCCTCAGCCTTCCAAAGTGCTGGAATTACAGGTGTGAGCCACCGAGCCCAGCCTGGAGCAACTCTTTCCCCCCCAATTGGTGAAGATTGTTTTTCATGGAGCGACTTTTTTAAAGCTTGCCATGATCTGACCTTTTTCTTTCTTCACTTATCTACACTCCAGACATAAATCACCACTTCCTCAGAGTGTCCTGTATTGTTTTTTCCTGTATGTGCTTATGCTGCCCCCATCATCTGAGACTTCTTCCCCATCTCTGGCTACTAAAAGTAGTTGAATCTATCTTTCCAAGTCTACCTCTTCAGCCCTATCATAATTAAGCTTCTTTATTCTCATAATTCTTTAACTCTCTATTAAAGTTAATGGAATTGTTTGACTAGTATTACTGTTATTTATGCTTAAGCTTCTGTCCCTGGCCAGATTCCCTGTAAGATTCTTGACGGTAAGTATTTTTGTCTCATTCAACAACTATGACTTCCAGGATCGGTGCGGGTGGCTCACGCCTGTAATCACCACACTTTGGGAGGCCAAGATGGGAGTATTGATTGAGTCCAGAAGTTCAGCCTGGGCAACATAGTGAGACCCTCCTCTCTACAAAAA